AATAAATATACACAGTACACATACATATATTATGTAAACAAAAAACTTTTATTTTGTATGCGATTAATCGCGATTAATCATTTGACAGCACTAATTTCTGATTATTATCAATGTTGAAAACAGTTGTGCTGCGTCATATTTTTGTGGAAACCATGCAAAAAAAAATTCAGGATACTTTGCATACTTGAACATAAATTTCAAAAGAACAGCATTTATTTTAAATCTAAATCTTTTCTAACATAACATATATGTCTTTAGTGATACTTTTGATCAATTTAATGTGTCCTTGCTGAATAAAACTATTAATCTTACTGAGCCCAAAGTTTCTGAATAGTAGTGTACATTTTAAATGATTATTTCTCTTATTTATGTCCTTTACAGTATTGCTGTTGACAGCTTTTCATTAAAGTAGTAATTCACTTGACTTTGTGTGTAACAGTGATTTTACCGCTCTGCTTCACGCAGCATGATAAAATCAAGTAATGCACAACCTCTTGAGCCTTATTGCTTTATTACATTTCAGTTGTATTTAATATCAAAAGATTAAATGAAACGTCTCCTCCTCCCTCCGCAGAAGGACAAATCAAGCACACAGGAGCGCAAGCCACGGCCGGCGAGGCCCTCCGGTCGTCTTTGCACTGAACTCCACCGCCACCTCACCACCGCGCAGGAGGCTGAGGAAGAGGAGGAGGAGGAAGATGAAGAGGACAGTGAGTCGGAGGAGGAAGAGGAGGAGTCGTCCGGCAGCGAGGGCGAGAGCATGGTGTGTGTCGAGCCGGCGAAGCCCCAGTTCTCCTCGGAGAAAGAACTGCACTCTGTAGTGGAGCTCATCAAATACATGCACACGTACTGCCTGCCCATACGCAAACAGGCCAGCTGGGATCGCAAAGAGCGTAAGGCCAAGCCCGAGAGCTCGCAGGTCCCCCGCAGCCTTCCTGTGAACCCTCCGAAACCGGCTCCCCAGACCAGGCCGAGGGCTCCTTTCACTCGCCGCAGGGAAATCAAAGCCCACTCCCTGCTGAAGGAGCTGCTAGAGGCCGTCAGCTCCTTTGACGTAAGCAAGCCTTACAGAATGCACAGCCCCCCTTATATCCACTGCAGAGGGGCCATGGCTCGGCTCGGCGCTGACCTTTCTTCCTCCCCCAAAGCCGAACCGAAAGACTCGGACTGTGAGAGCTCGCAGAAGAGCCCCGAGCCGGAGGAAGGCTCCTTTTCGGTCAGGCGTTCTCGCCGGCTGGCCTCCTTCCCCAGCCGCTTCGCTAAGAGAGTGCGTGTGAACTGCGGCCAGTCAGAGCCTAGTGTTGGGCAATCGAGCGAAGAAGAGAACGCGGTCAAACATCCTCCCGCTGAGCCTCCTTCTGATATAAGCCAGAAGAGCAGCTCCCACAAGGCGTCTGAAGCCCGTAACCCCTGCTACAGTGATGGTAAGACATGAGTCATTAGAAATATACTGCACTCCTTAAAGTACAGGTTCACATGACAACAACACTCACACTCTTTTGCCTCTGAATCTGTTATTTATTAAAAAAAAATTTTTGTGTAATTCATGATTCATGGTATATGCGGTTGCTGAATTAAAATGTAACCAAATATCAGTTTAGATTTATATTAGGGCTGTCAAAATTAACTGGTTAATTGTGCAATTAATTTTTTAATTTTTTTCAGATTAACACGCAGCATCCATTTTTTTCCTGGCATCATTTCACTAGTGTTACAGTAGACTTTAAGAGCATGCTATCAAGCATGATAAGATGCAAAAGAGAACTTAATTAGGTTCTGGCACCGAAAAATGCATTTAATAGTAGGGATGTAACGATTCACTCAACTCACGATTCGATTTGATTCACGATTTTGATTTCACGATTCGATTCCATTCAGAATTAAATAAGTAACACAAATAAAATAAATATCTTCATATAAACATAATAAGGCGTTGTCTGTGCTCTTTCCATTTAACATTAGAGGCAACCACTGCATTTTAATCATGATCCAAACAAAGATGCTGCATACATGCAACATGAGCAGTTTTAATCTAAATTACATTGTATAATTTCGAAATTTGAAGCAAAAACAGAATGGTTTGACTTCAGTTTTGTGAAACTATACATAAAAAATATCTGCATGAAACAGAAACAGCAGACGAGCTGAATGAGACGCAGATGCACTCTCTGCCAGCAGGTGGCGCTTAAAGCGTTTCCTTGGTTTCCGCTGTAAACAAAGCAGCGCTGCACTTATGAACTTTAATATGCATTATACACAGGCAAGATGAAAATAAAAAATACCATCTAAACTTGACAGTAAGTTCCCCTCAGACATACATTCATATAAACTACCCCTAATTGAATCGCGATTTGTTTAGCATCTCAACCGATTTGAATCGTCACATATTGGAATCAATTTTCAACCGGCTCGCGGTTAATCGTTACATCCCTATTTAATAGAGATATCAGTAGCAGTATTGGTCAATATCAATGATACTGGCCTTCATTAATAATAGGCTACTTAGTAAAAAAGATGCCATTAAACACATATTTAAAATATACCATCTTTATGTTGTTTCTACATTCATTAATTTGAAAACTTAATGTGAAATTATGACAATATAAATTTAAAAAAATATTATATTAATATGCAATTAATTGCGATTAATTACAAAAAATGGGTGATTAGTTAAATTTTTTAATCGATTGACAGCACAAATTTATATCAAGTGTAAATTTGATATTCATCTGTCTTGAGATTGAAATTTAAAATGTCTCATTGAATGACTGAAAAATAAAATAATTAAATGTGAATGAATATTAAAATATAAATATTTAGAAAACGTGTGGTCACACTGTTAGTGCACACACAGGAAGTCATATTTTCTTGTCACCTAGCAAAATAGCATTATATGAATTGAATAATAAAATAAAAATACAATTTTTTTTTTTTTTTTACTTCATCTTTCTTTAAAAAAAAGTTTTGTTTTTTTTTCATTTTTATAGATATTTACATATATAATTTATATCATTTAGATTTATATATTTGTATTTGCCAGTAAATTTGAACTTTCAATAACTTTTTTGTTTGGTAGTTCTTTGCATCTATTTAGTGATGCTTTTAAGAACCCAGTAACCAAACAACCTGTAATGTGCCATTAAGCATGATTTTTATATTCAGAGAGCCAGTTTAGCAACTGCGAGCTCTGCTGAGATCTCTAACTGTGATGCTGTCTGTTGTTCTGATTGCAGAGAAACGCTCCTGCCTCTGTCTGCCGCTGGCATCCAAATCCAACGGGTGTGTGTTCCATTCATATCTAATCTGTTCTTGAGCCCTGGAACACTTCCAGGCCGACAGTTTAATGCCCGTTGTGCGCTGCGACTAATAACAGAGCGTTTGGTGATATTCGAGTGCGTTTGGTGGTGATTAATGAGTGTGTGTTTTCCAGGCCTGACTCCCCCCACCACACCCCCCCATAAACCAGTGGAGGACGAGCTCTTCAAACCCGACGGAAAAGCTGAGCTCACCACCAAGAGCTCGTGCCTGGCGTGGGCGCACATACGCAAGCTCCCAGAGCAGACGGAGCTGTACGCCCAGCTGCGCCGGATGGGCCAAACGGGCGACACAGACTCTAAGGGCGGGACGCAACGGGCGTACGGGGACCACGATTACTGCCTGTTGGGTCAGGGAGAGAATTGCAAGACGACGACGATGTCTCAGTGCCGTGTGGAGGTGCATGAGGAGGAGATGGCTGTGAAGGACGGGGAGATGGAGGGACAGGAGGAGTGGCTCCTAGCCAATTGCCAGCAAAGGACTGAGGCTGATTCGCCCGTGGCGTTGTCCTCACCCGGTCCAGAGCAGACCAGTCGGCCCTCACCTGGCCGCTCTCCCACCCCAGAGCTGGATGCCCAGTCCCCAGTTTCCTGCTCGCCCCCCTCCCCCGACTGCAAACTCCCCTTCAGGTACTGAACGCTCCTGTGGGTTTTCCATCCTTGTGTTTTGTTGAATTCCGAAATGTTGAACTTCTGACTTTGAAAAGTGCAATAGGATGTGTGTATGATGTCTAGAGTTCTATCAGGAATCTGATTCCCTGACCATTTTCAAGCGACAGCTGAAAACGCATCTCTTTTGTCAATATCTGACTTCATCCTAAAAAAAATGTTTCTAGCTTGTACTTATTTGAACAATGCTTGAAACTTGGTATTACGAGCACTTCCTGTGTCTATTTGTCTCTTGAATCGCTTGATGTATTTGGATAAAAGCGTCTGCTAAATGAATAAATGTATAGCTGCCCACCGAATAGTCGATTAAACGTTAGTTGACGAGAAGAGGCTTAGTCGACCGATTTTTTTTTTGTCAGATCATGAATGCTAATTCTGTCATTAATTATTCAACCTCATGTCGTTCCAAACTCGGAAGACCTTTGTTCATCTTCGAAACTCATATTAAGATATTTTTGATGAAAGCCGAGAGCTTTCTGACCCTGCATAGACTGACACGTTTTATGGCCCAGAAACATATTAGGAACGTCGTTAAAATAATCCATGTGACATCAGTGGTTCAACCATAATGTATGAAGCTACAAGAATACTTTTTGTGCGCAAAAAAAGAGAAAAAATCGTTGAATAAAGTTCTTATTTTTGTTTTCTTTGCGCACAAAAAGTGTTCTCGTAGCTTTTTAACATTACGGTTGAACCACTGATGTCGCATGGACTATTTTAAAGGGGTCCTATTATGCTTTTTCACTTTTTCAACTTTAGTTAGTCTGTAATGTTGCTGTTTGAGCATAAAAAAGATCTGCAAAGTTACAAAGCTCAACGTCCACTTCAAAAGGAGATATTTTATTTTTTAATTATTTAATTTATTTTTTACTTTTCAAAAACTACAACGAACGACTCGTTTGGACTACAACGCATATTTTCCGGGATTTGTAATATCACAAATATCGACGAATGGGACAAGATCTGGTTGAGCTGCACTAGAGAAGGCAACGAGTGTTATCACTATGTCGGAGACACGCTAGCTTTCCCAAGGCAGACGAACTTAGAGCAGGAAGCGTTACATCGATCTGGGTAAGAGAACACAGAGCTTCCTGTCTCTTTAATGTTGTCTTTGCATCAGACGTCTGGTGCTCTGTTCTGAGTCAGATGAAGTCAGAGGAAGGTGTCTTCTCATTTCTAAGCTAATAAATGGCCTAATTCGACTTCATTTGCATTTAAATGGAAAAAAAGACTTTTTGTTTCTTGGTTGACCCACTTGAAAAAGCAGGGTGCAGTTTTAATTATAGTCAGGCCAGTGCGCCGCAGTGCTTGCTATTGACTAAATAACGTGTGAAGTCAATGAAAAAGCTGCTTGCTTGGTGATTTGTTCATTTTTAAATACGACTCATCGTCTAATTCTGTGTGCTGAGTCAGATTATATCTAGTCTATATCAAAGTTTGGTTAAAAAGGTGAGATAAATGCTGTCGACGGTAGTGGTGAAATGATAATATGTTTTGTAAATGAATGATGCTGGGGTTTAGGTCAGAGATTCTCCACTGGTTTTGCTTCCCAGCACATTTCAAAAATGGTTTATCCTTCAAACGTAAACAAAAAATGAATCAAATATTGAAATCAATTCAAAATGCACAGGTTCATTATGCATATTTGTAACATGACATGCATACACTGAATAGGAAAACTGAGATTTGTTGAAGTCAGTTGAGAAATGCATAAACAACAGCACAAGTGGGATTTGTCATCCTAAAATATAATATAACAGACACTGGGCCAAGTAATTAATAAATGATAAAAAATAATTTAGGGTAACTAAAATAAAGCTAGATAAAAGAAAATACAAATAATTCATGAAAAACTTGAATAGAAATAAAAAACATGACAAAATGACAAAAAAAAATAAATGATAAATACAAAATTAAAAAAGCATGACAAAATAAAACAAAATAAAAATGACAAAAGCATACAATAAAATTACTAAAACAAACTAGAATTTAAATTATAAATAAAAATATTAAAAAGCTCATTCAAAATGTATAATTACTATAATTGCATATGAATAACACTTACCAAGTGGCAGGTAATTTTGCTCCAGTATTTGGTAGAGTTTACGGGAAGCATTTTTTTTCTTTTCTTTTGAATCAAGTTATCTTTCTATTCTATGCATGATTATAGTATTTTTTTGTATTTTATTATGCTACTTGTATAATAATATAATATATTTTATAGAATGTATCTGTAGAACTCATTTAATAATTTAGCAAGATTAATTTAGAGAGATTATTGCACAAAATTATATTATTATAAAATATAAACTATTAAGTAAAATATATCCATCAATAGGTATCATATCATGGTTTTGTTTTGCTGTTACAGAAAATCTATAAACACGCAAACATCTGTAAACTGTAGTGCTGTCAAACGATGAATCGCGATTAATCGCATCCAAAATAAAAGTTTTTGTTTACATAATATATGTGGGTGTAATGTGTATATTTAATATGTATATATAAATACAAATGCATACATGTATATGTTTAAGAAAAATATGTTATGTTTATACTGCATCGCTGACACGCGCCTTACCACGCCTCCAGCGTCACGCCCCGTCCCGGACTCGCCTCAGCACCTCAAACAAGGCACTTCTTCATGTTTACATTTTGAACATTGGAATAAAAAAATAGACCTTGTCACTTCTAACTGAGGATCGGAGGACAATGGGGCGGGAGGATTACAAAGGAACAGAATCAGATCTGAGACACCGGACACAAGTGCTGCTTCTCGTGTGTGTTTGATGCCATTCGTGACGTTGCGAGCGGCTCGGGCTTCATAGCAAAACGCACTCTTTTCCATCGGTTGTTGTGACGTGCGTGTGCTTTTTTTTTTTTTTTGTACC